CTATCATTACCGCGTGATCATGCGCCGCGGAGGGCGGGCGATGGAGATGCGGGGGCGGTGTAGTGCGGGGCAGCGCGTCCTCGCCTCCGTCCTCATCCGGCTTGCCGTCAGCGAGGCGTTTTGCTTCGACTGCGGTATCCTCGCGCTGGATGAGCCGACGACGAACCTCGACGAGGACAACGCCCGCGCCCTCGCGGAGGCCCTCCACACCCTCATCCAAACCCGCCGCGCGGTGAAGCACTTCCAGCTCATCGTCATCACCCACGATGAGCAGTTCGTCCGCGCCTTGGGCGCCCACACCCTCGACCGCTTTTACTACGTCCGGAAAGACCAGGAAGGGGCCTTTTCCATCATCGAGGAGCGCACCTTTGATCAGCTTTTCGCCTAACAGACGGGTTCGACGACGACAACCAGTACTAATACTAATAATAATGAAACATTAAAAAAGAAAAGGAGCGCTGCATAAGATAGGAAAATGAGGCGATACTGCTGATACAGTGGGGATGGACATCTAAGAAAGGGAAAGCGGTCCCTTGTGCAAGTAAATAACATAGAATGGAGCTGCATTTGCGCTCCACTTGAGGTTATGGTTTTATACAGAAAATTTCAACTATAGAAAAACATATTATTATTATTATCTTTTTTTTTCGCAAAAGCAAGAGGTGCGGTAGAATAGTCTGCTGAATCACAGCTAAAGAAGCGAAAATCGGAATGAATCCTAAATCGATGGATTTATATTGAGATCGACTACAAATCAAGACGCTTCCTAAGGGTATCTTTCTTTGAATCTCTCCTTTTTTTTTTTTGGCATCGATCCCAAAGGACTTCAGGTTAGGTTTCACTTTATAACGTAGTCTGCGCGGACACATTAGTGTGGCTTAGCGCTTGCCAACCATAGATTTTGTTTGACTTCAACGTGGAACAGGTTCACGGTTCATTAGGCTTCGCATTGAACTTCAAAATCGAAACAACAAGAAAAAAATGGCGATTGAGGTCGAATCGGAAGGCCGTGTGGTGGCTAATTATCTTATTATCCCACCCTCCCCGAAGTCAAAATGGACGATCGCGGACTTTGAGCTTCTGCATAAATTAGGCAGTGGAAACTATGGCGATGTTTACCTTGCCGCGGTCCGAAGCTGTAATTTCATCGTCGCGCTTAAAAAGCTTTCCATCAAAAAATTGGCGGAATTCGACATTGTCAACCAGCTTCGTCGGGAGATCGAGATCGCGTTCCATACTCGTCATAAATATCTTCTCCGCACCTATTGCTTCTTTTTTGACGAGAATGATATCTTCCTAGTGATGGAGCCCTGCAGTAGTGGCATGCTCTATAGCGAGCTCAACCGGGTGAAGGTCTTTCCCCCCACCCTAGCCGCCCGCTACGTCGCGCAGCTCACCGAGGCTCTTTTTTACCTCCACCAACACCACATCCTCCATCGCGATATCAAACCCGAGAACATCTTTCTGGATCACAATAATAACATTAAGTTGGCGGACTTTGGCTGGTCCGTTCATGATCCGAATAACCGTCGAAAGACGTCATGCGGGACGCCGGAGTACTTCCCGCCCGAGATTGTCAGTCGCCAACCGTACGATATGTCGGCCGATCTTTGGTGTTTAGGAATTTTTTGCTATGAGCTTCTTGTCGGGCAAACCCCTTTTATTGGAAAAGACAACGACCAGATCTATAAGAATATCTACTCCATGCAGTTCACCATCCCGAATACAGTACCCACGGAGGCGAATGACTTGATTTCGAATTTGCTCGTTAAGGATGGATCGATGCGGATGGCCTTGCATCGCGTGTTAAATCATCCGTTTCTGATGAAGTACTACTACGTGCCGAATAATCTGAGGCCGCCGTCTGGGAAGCGTCCGCGTGGTTGAAGTAAACGGCAATACCATTTAGGAAAAGGTGAAAATGGTGGTATGGTAGAAGTTATTCATTATTATTTTCATATTCCAGTGATTTGCTTATTTAGATTTATATATATATATATAAAAGTGCGAAAGCTTTTATTTACCACATTTTAGATTTCCTTTTATAGGTAGATTCAATGGCTGCCATTCAGAGTGTATTTGTCACTTTCCTTTATTATTAACAGTTATGTTAAAACAGCTTGAAATGACTAAATTACAAACGTGCGTAATCTTTTTTTTTTTGGAGGGGGAGGTGTATGTGTGTGTATATGTGTATGAGGGAAGCTTCACCCTTTTTGCGTATGCTTTTAATGGATGATCGAGACTTGTTTGGTTTGCCACTTTACAGTGTGGTATGAGCATTTTCTATATTCTTACTCTTTCCTAAAACATTGTGCTGTTTTTTGAACAGTGCAACACATTTACCTAGCTAAGAATCTACATCCCTCAGACATCATTTCCTTGTTTGTTTGTTTCACGTGGACTTCAGAAAAGTAAAAAAAAAAAACCACAATGGAGTTCTCTGGAAGTGTCCTTTCCCCTGTTGATGCCAAGCTCCTGATTTGTCAGCTCAAGCCCTTTCGGATTGGCGAAATCGGAAGCGAGGCGTGGAAGGCGCAGCGCTTTGCGGTGGAGCAGCTCAACATGTGCACGCACAGCAACGCCGTCCGCAAGGTGGATGACTACGTCCGGGCTTATCTGCTGGAGGAAAATCAGCTGTCAACGCTCTTACATGAGCTGCTGACGATGGAGGTTTGGCGGCACCGCGTGCTGCCGGAGGTCCGGGGGGGCATTGAGTCCAATCCCGCGGCGGGGTATCTGTATTGCGATTACGAATCCATCCTGGTGAACCTCCTCGAGTGCATTTGCTTCCACGAGGACGTCGTGCTGGGGTTGGGCGAGGACGTCCTGGAGTTGATCGATTACGCCTGGCGACAGGTCAGCGCGCTGCTTGGCGAGCGGCCCGCGGGGGAAGGGGAGGAGGGGCTCGAGCGGAAGCTTCGGGAAGGCCGGGCGGGGCGGGCGATGGCGAGCATTTCCCTGTTGTGGTTTGTGATCGATCGGCTGGAGCGACTCCCGCTCGCGGCGAATAACGCTGTGTTGAAAAAAAGCGATCTCCCTGTTGGGCTGACGGAGGTGCTCCTCGCACAACCATGGCTCCGTCGGCACTCCTCCAACGACAATAACAAGGACAAAAGTGGGGTTGAAAAATACCAAAGCGGCCGTTTCGTCCCTGTGAAAGGCGATGAGCTCCTGCGCGTCTGCACCCCGGAGGCGCATACGTGGTTTTCCCTTCACAAACTCCTCTGTGATCCTGAATGTCGTAAGCAATACACGTATACGCAGTCTCGAAAAGAAATCATGCTGCGGACGCGGCGATTTTTAAATGATACGCTGCTAGATCAGATTCCGGCCCTTGTCCAGCTTCAGCGCGCACTAGAGGAGCTTTCCTTTATCGAACCCCCTTCAGGAACCGAAGAAAAGTTCCGCAGTATGCTCGTTATTGAGCCCGTTCCGCGTATTATGACGAGCATCGATAACGGCAAACAAGATTGGCGGGCGGAGGCGGCGCGAATGGATCGCCAGCTGCGCGATCCATCGGAAAGAATTAAAGACGCACAACGAATGGCGTCCATCTTTGATCAGATGTTCCAGGATCAGTAACAAATTAAAAAAACTCATAAAAAAAATCCATGTCAATTTTATGGGCATATATCAGATAGACAATGTTTATTAGCTGAGCTACTATCATTAGTAACAAGCTTTCTTCTTTTTTTTACACCTATTTTGCTTATTTCCTCTTTTTGCGGCAAATGAAACAATCATTTGCTCTTGCACTAATGCTAAGCATTACGCATACCTATTTGAGAGTATCATCTCATGCTAATCAAACTATTCAAAGTGCGCACGTCCTCCTGTATTGAACGCAGTATCCTAACACCCAAAAGGAAATGCTAGGGAGGCAAAATCCTATCCTTTAGCCTCAGCGTACTTTCCGATTCATGTTGTTTTGTGGTATGACATGCGATGCCATTGACACAGCCTGTACGGCCCATCCTTTTCACACCCTCTCCCCGCCTGTGCTCCCCCAAAGCACATTCCCTATTCTCTAGCGATACCACACACACACATACACACACACACACACACACAACAGTAACAGCAACAGCAACAGCCGCACTACTCCCCCAGCCCCGTTGACGGCTTCTCGTACGGGCCCCACCGGGCGTTCTGTGACAGTTCCCTCCCACCCCCGTGTCGTCTCACCGCGTGGTGGAGACCCCCCTGTTGGCGGCACAGGGCCCATGGCGGAGACGACCTCTTGGGGCTGTTACACCAGCGCCGCCGCGGATCTCCCGGGCGAGTGCTCCCTCAGCCTGCCCTCCTTCGAGGTCCAGCACCGCGAGGAACGCCCCGCGGCGCCGGCCGCGGAGGACTACCCCCCGGGATGCGAGGTGGGGTTGCGAGGGGTCGACCTCGCGCGGGCCGCGCAGGATCCTCGGTACTGGGAGCCGGTGATGGAGACCCTCTTCCGCAGCCCACGACGCCGAGTGCGGGTGGTGCGGCACTCGGGCGACTTCACTTTTGTCCGCTGTGCTGACCTCGAGGACTACAAGGAGGTCGGCCTCACCCTCCACCGCGCCTGCCTCCAGGGGTCCAGGGACGGCGACCCAGACGACACGGAACGGCCCCCGCAGAAGGGGCAACCCCCCAATGACGACGGTACGTGGCGGCAGGGGGAAGCTACCGAAGGGATCTTGAAGGCTTGCACCCGTCAGTCCCCAAGTAACTTCCTCAGACGGATGAAGCAAGGAGCGCATGCGATTAGAACCTCGAATTACCAATCGGCGGTCCTTTACTACAAGCTGGCGTTGTGTGAGTCCCCGAAGGAGGCTGCGGAGGTGTTGAGGAGCCTCTTCGTTATTTATCCTTCTTTCAGGCGAATGGAGCATTCTGGGCATTATCTGAAGAATGCGAAGCAGGTTCTCGCGCAGCAGCCCGGGCCGGACTTCCGGCGCGGCGTCGAAAGCGACCCAGCTATCTCAACAGCGATCTTCACGGCCTCCGACATGGGACCCTCAGCCGCCCCATCCAAACTGCACAAAATAAATGTGAAATACGTCCAGGCTGCCGCAAAGAGAATGCCACTCGACGAGTCCTCCCGAGACCCGACGAAGGGGGGAAACGAAAAGGAAATGAATGAGGAGCCGAAATTCGTCGAGGCCGCGGCGCGCATGCTCGTCTGTATGGCACGGGCCGTTTGGTCGCGGCGCCGCCCAGGGCGGCTGCTGAGGGAGCCTCCTGCCGGGGAGGGGGAAATGGGGAGGGAGGAAGAATGGAACTATTCGAAAGGGATCCCTTCGGGCCGTTGTCGGCGATCCTCTCCTCGAAAAGGATTAAACCCCATTCTTATGAAGAGGAGGTGATTCAACTCCGTGTAGTGGCATTATTATACCCTTCACGCCTATCTCAGGTTCCTTGAAAATTTCGGCATCCCAGTCGCAGTTATCTCGATGAAATACTCAATTCTCCGCCAGAGGGCACTCCAAGTTTACATTTGTACATTATTGGCGTGTTTGAATTATTCACAATGACGAATGCCATAAACCTGAATTTCACGCTCCATAGTAAAAGCTGCGGTCTTGTTGTGAACTGCCTTTTCTTGGCATCATGTGATGCTTCGATAATGAAACCTAATACAATCTTTTGTCTGCTAAATTTATGCATATTTACTACACCATGAATTTGAGTGTTTGGGTTTGTGCATGTGCAACTAAAAGATTTGAAAGTAGTGTTCTTTACATTTCTGCGTCAGCAATATCGCCTCCTGTAGCTTTAGCTACTGACTTGGACAAAACTTGATGAAAAATAGATATGAATTTATTTATTGTATTGTATGTCAATTTATTCGTTCGGTGTGCATGTGAATGTTTTGTATACATTTATAATGCACATACGGTTATGTAAATGTTATTTAATATAGATGTTTACGTTCAAAAAATTCTTGAAATTAACTTTCCATACCGTATTACTTGGGAATTCATTGCCTAAAGTTTTATACACTTTCTTGAAAAATATTTTCGCTATTCTTTTTAGTGTTCATTAATTTCAGTGCTAAGGCAGTGGTTTTTTTTTTAGAAACATACGCATGTGTGTATGCATATGAACATTAAAAAAGGTAAATTACATGTATGCTTGTTTATATGTATAAAATATTGCTTTTTTTTTAATCTTTCTACACACTTAGTTTTATACTGATTCATGTAATACATTCTTATGCACTTGAACCCTATAAAACTGCCAGTTCTTTTTCTCAGAGTTATTTAATTTTCTAACGGAATTGTTCATTTTCTGTTAATTATAAATAATAATTACATGAAAAAAAACAATAGATTCCCTTAAGCAAATGAAAGGTTCTACGCGTTATACGAAATTTTGCTCCTTGCTATTTTTTACTTATTAGCTTGTTTTTATATAAAACATTTTATTTTGTTCTTTCACTTCACAAGAATATTCTTTAAAAAAAATGGGGTCATGTAACTACCAGAAGAAACGAAAATGACCTCAGAACCTCGCTGCTTTTTTTAAAGGCTATCTGAAAAGCTACTAGTATTCTTATAGGTATTTAAGGGCTCATAAGGTCTTTTGAGTATGTATTTATATTTTTATTTCGTTTTTTATTTTATTAAATGGGTATCTAATCCAAATCAGAAAAAAAATGTTACAGAAAAATACGCATATTCTTGGTTATTATGTTAGATTTTTTTTTGAGTAATCCTATTTGATATGTCTTACAAAATAAGAAATGGAGGTTACAGGAAAAAAAACTTATCTCTAGTTTGTTTTTCACTTTTCTTCTTTCTCCATTAAGATTTCAATTGAAACGTCACGTTTTTCTTCCACTGTCAAGTCATATAGCCTTGTAAAGGGAGTAGAAATGGAGAAATTCTCCTTTTAAACTACAAAAAAAAAGGGATAGCTATGTAGTGCCTTAACCCCTTGAAAGCCTTTACATCAGTGATGGCCAACGCACATATAAGCAGCCTTTACTACACGACCCTGTCCTTTAATTTCTCTACGACAAACCATATTTTTAAAATAGGTGTATAACTGGAGCGTTGAAGGTCTGAAGTCGATAAATCCTTACTTTTTCACAGATTCGCCATGTTTGCTGAGTCGCATTTAAGAATGAGTGGTTGAAAAGAATCTTGATGACAAAGGACGCGGCAGTAAAAGTACAAACTTTTATTGTCGCTTTTATGAACTTCATTCATAGAGCCTGAATTTAATAAAGGGTTAGAACCCCTTGTCGGCTACACTGACAGCTTCTTTCGAACCACCCCTTACCCATGGCCTAGTTTCGAAGATCTCTTTGACGGCGCTCCCTGATGTTCACACAACGAGATCGTGTATTTCTTCGGGGGTGTTTGTCAAATAAACTAATTGGCTTCGCCCAACTGTGTTATAATTATTATCATTATTGTGTGCATTTTTTTTTTGATGCCTCTAATATCGTCTATAAAACCGATATAGAGACTTCTTTCAGCATATTTTCATCTCTTCTTGAGTTGAATTTGTCCTAAGGTTGAACTTATTTACTCCGCTTGTATTATTTATTAGATTGCATTAAAGATTGAAGAAGGATCATGCTCAGTCTAAAGTAGTGTCCATTAAATTTATTCTGTCGCTTCGGCGCGAATGATCCTCGCATTTCCCACCTCAACATCTGTGTAGGACAAAAGCTATTATTTATGCTTGCGAATAACTACTCCGACTCACCTTTTAGATTGTCTTGCGCTTAGCCAATCTTTTTGACTTCATACAAAAACTATATCTCTTTAGTCAAGCCTTTTTAATCCTGATGATGGACAGCTCCGTCGCTCCGTTTGTTTTGGCGTCGGTGTGGCTTTTCTTTTTCTTTCTGTTGTGTCTCACATCCGTCTTTTGTCTGAATTGGTTTATGCAAAAGCGCCAGCGCTATGCCAACATTATTGAGGAGGAAAATCAGGACCTGGTCGAGGTGCCGATGGGATCCGCCCCGGCAGAGAAGTCCGCCGCGGCGTTATCGCAAGATATGCCGCATTCAAAGCCCGAAAGTGTCAGGGCGTCGTCATCCGGGAGATCCAAGAATGCCTCCCGGCAGCGCTTTTTGGAATCGCGGCGCGCCACGGCCCAACAAAACTACGGCTCACTCTCGGAAGGTCCTGACGCCGTGGCGTAAAAATCGCCCGATCGATTAGTGGTGCTTGAGGACGGTTGGGTTTCCGTCGTTAAAATACAGGTTATGTGCGATAGGTGATCTTGATGGAAGAATAGCGTTGGTATTAAGCGTGTTTGTTTCTTTTTTCGAATTGAAAAAAGATAAATTGATTTTTGTATTGAAAAATAAAAGATGATGATATTGTATGCTTTTTTGCTCTTCAGATGTCATGGAATATCATTATATATGTGTGAGTTTGTGTGTGTGTCTATTTATTTGTGTGCAAAAATGGGAGAGAATTATGCGCAATTTCCAATTCTGCATTGATCTTTCATTTGAGTGAAAAGGGGAGAGAGGGGGTGTAGAGCAAGTCATTCAAAGAACCGTGACAATCTCTGTGTAATTTTCTTGTGTATTTTGATTTTTAGCATTTCCACAAAGCAATGCATGTCTTCTCTGGTTTATCGTTATTCTTGGTGGTTTTGACACTCTTCGGTATATTCAACATAGCCATCGCGGCGGCTGGGGATATTTCCGGCAAAAATAATCCGAACACAGCGGGATGGCGCCACGCCAAATGGGCTCGGAACCTGGCGTCTTTGGTGGAGATTTGCACACGATGTGCCGTAAAAGACTGCACTATTCCCAGACGACAGTTTTCCACATCATGTGTATCACAAGTCGATGACCTGAAAGGGAAGCTTAGTGGGATTAATAATCCCCTATGCATTTCCTTTCAACCCAACACACTGATTTCGAGGGGTGATGATACCTGCATTGTTGAGGATCCTGTTAATCCGGGTGTGGTCTTTCATTTGCAAGGAGTTTTTCTGCATGCCGCTCCGGAACGTTTACCACGGCACGGAGAGCTATGTATAGGCTTCATCAGAACCATCCAGGCTGAGGAGTCGCCGCTAAAGGCACTCGTAGTGTTTGTTCTCTTAAAAGAATCCTCCATTCGCGCCGCCTTTTCTAGGGGGTTGAGGAACATTATAGTGAATCTCTCCAATTTGGAGCCACACCGCACGACAAATGACTCGTTCGGTCAATTTTCAATAGCCTCACTTTTGTCTATAGCACAAAGCAATGCCACGTATCGGGTCTCCGCGACTTTATCGCCGTGCGAGAATCTCGTCAAGCTGCAGGCCGCTAGAAAAGAGGCTTTGACAAAGGATTCATACCCATTATTGAGTGTAAGAGCTTGGAAGATTTATCACTTGGTCGATTTTAACCCTGTTATGGATTCAAATACGCGTGAACAAAAAAGTGTTGATACGGTCTCACTTTCACGATACCACAAAAAGGGAACTAAGGGGAACATAATGGAGGAAACGAACAGTCGGGGTAGTATTGGTGCAGACAAAGAAGATGTCCGTGTGTGTGCTAATCGAATCTTAACCATTTCTCCTACCTCCACCCACCAACGCGGAGGTTCGCGAGGGCGGTTCGCACTTAACAATTCCCCTGACAAAGCGCCGATCAGCAGTGCGGTAAGTTCCTCGAAACGAAAAGTCTCTCCTTTTGAAGAAAATTCTCTTAAAAATCCGAGTTTGAGGTCCTGGGACAATAATCCATCCTCTACACTAACTGAGTCATCGACGAGCAAGTTTAGATCAATAATCCCGAGAGTGATAAATTACATGAAGGAACACTATGCTCGTTTGCTTATATGTCTTATTCTAGCGCTTGTTTTCTTAGCTGCTATAATTTTAGCCTACAAGTCGCGATATCGATCTCGATACATCGTGAGAAATATTCCTAACGAGGAACGGCCTCTTTTCAGCTCTCCCGATGCATTTCGATACGGTATATTTTAACTATATCTATTTTTATTATGTTATGTCGATCTTTATACATACATTATAGTACCAATTTTGCTTTCATGATTTTAACATAAACATAGAATCATGTTTTTTTTTATCATATGTGTCCGAATAACATACAAAAAAAACTGACAATACAGTTGGAAACAAAGGGTCACCTGCTTGTAAGTGATAGATTAGGGAAAAAATGTCAGCACTAAAAAGATGGAAAATTAGTAAATTTGATATTATTATATGCAGTTAACTTCCTTATTCACTTATTATTCGAATAATATGAGCTAGAATACAACGCTTTAGTGCAGTACCTTAATAGGATACCATTTGCATTTACTTCTGTTATGAAATACTGAACTGGATAATGGGTTATTCGCCTCCCATTCAACATTAACCACCACTTCCTGCCTTGTATTGACATTTATATGTGTTTATTCTCTTTCTTTTATTTTATTTTTGTGAGTTTCACGGTTTTAGCTATTTTAGCTCAAGAGGGGAAAATGATCTCGCCAAATATGCTCGCGCACTGCGACGACGCCCTGTGCGTTTTGCAAGACAACTCGGTCTCTTTTTTTGCCTCTAAAACGTTGCGCAAGTTCCACGAAGAGCGTTTTACCGGCGTCCGTCTCTGCGGTCTTTCCATCCAACCCTCGTCGGACGGGAAGGAGAACACCTTGCATGTGGTCGATGTGGAAAGCAATTGGTATGTCGTATCGATGAAGCCGATTAAAGTCAAATTCAGCACCACGATATCTCTACCGTCGACGTCGACCTCGCCCGCGGCGTCGGCGGTGGGACGGCCACGTGGGGCGCCAGGTAAGCGATCGCACCCCGGCGCCGCGGAGGCCCCGTCTAAGGGCCTTCGCGAGGCGCACTTTTACGAACGCCACGGCCAGCTCCATGCGGTGCTTTTAACCGACCACGCCGTCTATGAAGCCCCCCTCACGACTCAGTCGGACGTGCGCGCGGCGGCGGTGATGTCCTTCCCGACCCCCCTGCCGGACTGCTTTCTGGCGGTGGGCGCCCACACGGGCCTTGTCGCGGTCGCCCAGCGAGGCAAGCGCTGGCTCCAGTGCGCCCTGCCGGAGGACCGGGCGGCCGCGGCCCCCCCCCGCCGCCGCGTGCTGCCGATCGCCCTGCAGAGCCTGGCGTGCAGCCCGACGACCGCTGCGGTGGCGCTTGGCGGGAGCCGCGGGGAGCTCCTCGTCCTCCCCGACGCCCGCGCCGCCCACTTCTTCGCCGACCACTGGCATCA